TATTTTAATGGTCACTGAAGATGCGATGGATAGGATTGGACACAGGATTGGAGAGGGTACTGTACAGCAAGGACGCCTTATGTTGGTGACTCCTTTTGGTGTTTCGTTTTTTGTATAACAAATTTTCTAATTAGAAAGTTTATATTTACCAGAGAAAGTGTTCGGTTCGGCGCAGGGAAGCCGCGCTTAATTAAGCAAACTTCCTTCCGGTCGAAGAACAAGGAAAAAAAAGGGTCCTATATTAAACCCCACACCAACGAAAGAGTTCCACTGAACTCCTGCCTTCACCTTTCACCATTTAATTGGCATCATAATTAAATATACACCTACCCAAACAGTCGCACACACTCACACACACTGGCACACACATTCATGCATAATTGAGAGACGAGAGAGAAAGTTTCGGATGTCGGTAGCCTGTGGAAGGGGGGAGGAAAGCAAATGAAGCGAGAGCTAAAAAGATTATTTCCATTATGAGTGGGCCAATAAAAGAAGCCAGCAGGTGTAAGCCGTACGCCAGCGAGGGTTGATCGATGCAACCGCCAGAGGAAGAAATTTGTGAAGGATAGCCAGAATATATGCCTACTCTATGGATATAGGGATAGTATGTATAGTACATTGCATTGGAAACAGTTCTCACTCGGTTTTGAGGATATTTTATAGTTCTTTTCCCATGACTCTTAGCCAAATGTGGACCGGGCTATCATCGGTTATCATAACCGATTGATCGATTCATCAGGCATTCCTTTTACCAATTCAAAGATACAAGGTATCCGCTTTAAGAAATGGCTGCTGTGCTCCCCAGAGTTCCGACAGTTTTTAGAGTAGAGCAAAGATTGTGATACATTTCTTCCCAAAGGAAAACCTCTTCCGGCAAAGTTTTCCCCTTCGATATTAGCCGCAAAACTCCTTGAGCGGCCCTTGGCCCCCATGACACTTTGGAAACTTTTATGATGTCTCATCTTGTCTCCTTGAGAGGAAGAGGTCTAATTCGGTTTGCTTGTTTATCACCTTAATTAAGGCCTGGCAAAAAGGCAACGGCAACGACAAATGGCTAATAAGAAAAATGAATTTTATTGTGAGGCAAAGTAACATGCAACAAATGAAGGCACTCCACTCAACTCCATACTTCACTCCACACTCCACTCCATACTCCACTCCACTTTGCGCCATTCCGTTCCACTCAACTCAAGTCGGCTCCTCCTCTTCCGGTTGACGCTTTCAGCCGGCGATGGTCGCCACGGGATTCGCATTGTGCCCCATGTGAAACGTGTTAATATTCGAGGCAGCACACGTTCCATGGGGTTGGGCTTGGGTTGCTTCGCTTGGAGTGGTTAAGGAGGTTAAAGAATGCCTGCCAAAGGACTAAATCAGCGTCTCAAGTGGTTTCCTCTAGCCCTTCCTGGCGCTTAGCTACTCGTAAATGTCGGAGGAGTGCCCCATATGACTCTGTGTACGTTTGCGTCTTGGTGTTTGTTTGAAATTTTATCAAGCATCGCAAGTAATGGGTAGAATTTTTAATTATTCACCCCCTACTCATGCATACACACACACACACACACACACACGGCTGCATACTTTGGAGCGGTGGGCGCCAGGACTCGGGACTGGGCTAATTTGTTATGCGAAACATCTTCAGCAGGGAAATAATTAAAAAGTTTTTTCCAATGGGTGGAAGTCCCTTTAGTACTCTTCCTCGCCCGCTCTCCCCACCATCCCCCCCACTCCCCCTAGTCTGTTATCGATCTCTTATTTATCTGCTGCTTAATCTCGTTTGTGCCTGTCCGGATCCGGCTACCTTTTTGCGGTTACCGCTTCCTCTCCATTTGCTCTCCACTCATTTGTTACGCTTCGCGTCCTGAAACACCACCCCAGCCGCCACATATCCTTGGGCTGCTTCAGTGCCGCTTTCATCTTGTAGTTGACTGTATTTTTATGGCCATCGCAGGATAGGTGAGAGCCCCCACCTATCGACTACGCGACTAGTCTGCCTGCTCTGGCTCCAGCTCTGGCTCCGGCTACGGTTCTACGTTCTGGTTGGATTGCGATATTTGCCAGCCGCCTTCCCGGGCACCACTCCACTCTCGGTTTGCAGCTTAATTGGATGCCACAATGTGAAATAAATTGAGCAGAAAATTACGTTGCCCGCCAAATCTAAACCGCACTCTAGATAAACTCCACACGAGGCACATGGATTGGGCCCTAAGTTTTCAGCTTTGGCCATTGTCCCCGCCGGTGTCGTTAAAGTGTTGAACAACGGCGGAAAACCTTGATTGGCCATTCAGTCTGAGCAGCAAACGGCAAAGGGACTTTGCCTATACGAGACTATGAAGGAGTAAGGCCATTGAAAACTCCTAAGGATTGTTACACTCATATGTGCTAGATGAAGAGCTGAATGTTTCTGTATCTCTTCTTTTATTTTCTAAACCATTTTTACTGTTCATTATGAGGTTCTGTAAGAAGGCCCAAGATTTTTAACAGTAACCATGCTCCTAATCAGTTTGGCCGATTTGGCCTATCTGGAGTTTCTTGACGATTATTGACCTATCCCATATTAAAGCGACCTCTTCGAATTACCGCATTCAGCACTCCGACTTGTCTTGTCCGTGTCTTGCCACGCAGAACCTGCCATCTAAGGGCACCAATGAGATGCCGTACTACCAAAAGATGTTTGAGAGGGCCTCCGGACACACTCCAACTGCGGAGAGTCGGAATCCGCTACATCTATTGCTAAAACCAAAGTTCTAAGAAGCAAGGCTGCATATTTGATGACATTTCCAAGGTCCTGAGGCAAGAGTTTTTATTCGGGTTTCCAGTCGTGCGACGATCAAATTGGAAATACTTGGCGGTATATACTCGTAAGTGTAGTATGCAATTTATTGTATCGATTCTGTTCGATCAGCTGCGCAATTTACTCGGCAGCGTTCGGTAGCTGTAGCTTGGCCTTTGTTTGAGCAGTATCCACGCGCAAACCGCATATATTAAGCTAGCTGCTATGAAACTATCAAAGCTGGATGCTATGAAGCTACTAAAGTTGTCTGCCATGCGCGGTTAAAGCTGACTGCTGTGAAACTTGTTAAGCTGTCTGTTAATCCTTTTTTTTCCCAAGCCAAAAAAACGATCGTCTTATTTTTTTGTTATTAATTTTTCATAATTTTATTTAATATAATTGTTAATTTAATTTCCATTGACATCTCAACGGATTCGACCTCTGATTCGATTACGTTAATCTCTCAAATAAACTTTGTAATTACATTTATTTATTCTTATTAAAAAGAAATAATTTCTTTTCATTTTTGTTGTATTTTTTGTTTTGTTTGGGTTTCTGCACAAAATTCTCTTTAATTTTATTTTAATGTACTATGTATAATATATGTATGCGAGATCTTTGCATTGTTGCTACATTATACACATACAGTAGCTATTTTCAGTATTTTCTATCGATTTGGATTTCTGTTTCTGTTCTGTTGCTCTTTCCCGTGGTATACATCAATTAAATATTTACTTCGATTCTATTAGGTAATACATATGCAGTACACGTACATATATATGGTATATACCTACATGTATATATGTATTTTTAAAGAATGTGCTGTTTTGGACATCTCTTACCGATCGCTTAACACTATTTTCCATTGCATAGTACATAATAATTCGTATAATGATTCTTTTCTTCTGGACTGGGGGTTCCGTTCCGTTCCGTTCCGTTCCTTAACCGGAGCCCCCGCAAAAGATGTCTTATGGAATTTTCCTGTTTCCACTTAGGAGCTACCAAAAAAAAAACCGAATTACAATTTGAGTTCTCAAGAGTTCGTAGACTGTTGTGGCTAAGTAGTATACAGATATCGTGATACATATACATATACATATACATGGATATAGCACATACTCGTATTCGTATTCGTATATTTAGGATTACATTTATAGTTAAGCTTAGATTGCACATGTTTATACACATTTAAAGTACACGCATATCGAATTACATGAAATGAACAGTAAACAAATTCACGAACATGGATTACGGCTTAGGAACTCAGACATACATCGGCTCTACAATCCCCCGCTACCCCAAAACGAAGCCCATAGATACCCATTCCCATACCCATACCTTCCAATCCCATCCCCATCCCCAACCCCATCTTTTTCCTATCCCACCCGATCCGACGATCATTCATATTTTACAAAAACGAGGCAAAAATACTAACTCAACGAAGGGCTGGCTGCATGGTTTACAATTTGCTTTAACACTAGTTTAAAGTTGCTAAGTATTCTTTTGGTATTATCTGTATTCTTTTTGGTATTCTCTCGTATTCTTTTTTGGTATATGTTCCTTATCGCTTCTATATATATGACTAGTTTTATGGCTCGGGCATACCACGGGCCTGATAAAAAAAAATCCAAAAAAAAAAACACATTACAGACCCAATGCTGCTTAAGATTCTTAGATTTCTCTTACGTTTCTTTTCGTTTCGTAGTTTAAAATTGTGAAGGAAAATGTTCCGGCTGAAGGAGAAATCCTTTGGCAAGACTCCGGAACATTTTCCCTAGCTCTTGCACTCCGTCTCCCTGTCCTGCTCTACCTCCTTTCCTTCTCCTTCATTTTGCTAAGTAGTTCTGGCTTAGTTTTCTTTTTATTTCTTTGTTTTTATTTAACTATAATACGAGTATTCTAGAGATCCATGGAGAACTCCAACAAATTCTACTAAAAGTTGATCATTTTCATTGTATGTATTTATATATATATATATATATATATATATGGTGTTATGTGTGCGTGTATGTGTGTGTGTGTGTGTGTGTGTCAGTGTTTGGGTTAAAAAAACATTATGTACAGAAAGATTCCATCGTGTGTTCAACACATATGTACTCGTATGTACAATCAGAAGCCACCGAGGCAGCCATTTCCGAGACCCATACCCATACCCATACCCACGCCCAGACCCAGACCATGACCAAGACCTTCCCCATACCCATACCCATACCCGTATCCGTACCCATACCCCTGCTCCTCGTGCTGCGTCTCCGCTGCGCGCCCCTCGCACTATAGAACCGCAGAGCCGCACCACAGAACCTGACCTCAATATGGCCTCCACACGCTGCCCCCATTGTCAGTGGGATTGTGGTGGCCGCGATGGGCAGCTAAGGCGGCCACCTGACGATTGCTGTTACCGTCCTCGATATTCCTCACCGACGCCCCGCAGTTGCCGATCAGCGTGAGGTCGCCCGGATGGGTCACACCCCCGCCGGCCATGATGTTGTGCTGCTGGCGCACCCCCACATTGCTGATGTGATCCATCACGCTCTGGAGCTCCCCATGCACCGAGGAGTTGGGCGAGGCGTGGGCCGGTAGCGTGTGCGAGTGGAAGCCGTGGGCCGACTGATTGGCCGCCGTGTACAGCTGCGAGTAGAGGAGGCTGGCGGGCAGGACCGGGTACAGCGATCCATTGCATCCGGCCGCTGCTGCCGCGGCACTGCCGTGTCCGCCACCCACTCCAGCCCCGCCGCCGTAGGCCGAGGCCGAGGCGTGCTGCGCCTGGTTTACGATGCCCGGGAAGTTTTGATTGGCGCCGAGCATGGCGCCTGGATTGCCCACGCCCACAGCTGCGGCGGCACCCGCCGAGGAGGCACTGCCGGCGCCCCCTCCTGCCGCTCCCGCACCGCCATTGGCCGCCCCGCCGTTGGCTGTGCCGCCGCCGCCACCGGTGCCGCTGCCCAGATTGGGGGTGTTCGTTGAGAGCAGATCCTCCTGCACCGGCGACTCGGCCTGGGAGCTGTCGCTCAGGCTGCGCGGCCCGTTCTGGCTGGAGTGGACGTTGTAGTCGTTGCTGGCATTGGTGTGGTAGCGCGGCACCAGGATCGAGTTGCCTCCGGCTCCGCCGCTGCCAGCTCCCCCAGCGCCAGTGCCGCCGGTGCCAGCACTGCCGGCACTCGCTCCGTTCACGGTCGAGGAGATGGACGTTTGCCCGGTGGCGCCCAGGAGGCTGTGGTGCGTCATCTGGCCACTGGTGGAGCCCACGAGGCTGCTCAGATGCTGGTCCAGATCACTGGCCGTCGAATCGGGTAGCACTAAAAAGGAAAATCAGAATAAGGCAAAGAGGAACATTAATCATTTATCATGAATTGAGTCTCAAGAGGTCCATCAACGAGGCCGCTAAAAGGGTGTGCAATAAAATCATAAAATGCCACTTACTTGGCACACAGTCGCGATTGGTGGCGCCGCCAAAGTCCTGATTGTTGCTCTGATCGTTCGAGGAGCAGGTGAATCCCAGCGCCGGATTGTTGAACTGTGCCGATGTGGGGGTGGTGCAGGAGGAGAGCCCGCTGCTGGCCAAGTACGGAGAGTAGGCAGATGCTGCGGATCCATAGCCCCAGTGCGTGTTGCTGGCACCTAAACCAAATTGGGACACATCTTTGTTGTTGGTATTTATATGGTATTTTTTTGGAATATTCAATGAGTGAATGAAAAGAAAGCGATAGAAGCGACTGATGAATGATGAATGAATGGCAAGCGAAATAAACAATGGAAATAATTCACGAAAAGCGACAAATGTTTAGATTTATAATACGATTTTTTGCTTATTATTTTGTAGTGATTTTTGTGGCTGCGATAATCCCAAGAAAAATACCAAAATAAAGGATAATAAATATGTGTATTCCTATGTTAGAAACCAAATTGATGTGGCCAAAATGAACATCTGACGAACCCTCTGGCCACCTATCCAAAATGTATCGCTCATGTGGGTCGCTAATTGGAGGTCTCTGCCGCCATTACACCCACCATTTCCCAGCCATCGGTGCTCATTATGCGGGACCTTTTACCACCGATTTGGCCATTTTGCAGAGATACGAGAAAAAATTACAAGCAAATCAATTGAATGGTCTCGGTGCCGGGCCAGTCCCAGTCCCAGTCCCAGTCCCCTGTCTCTGACCGTCGGAAATCGTTCAGCAATTCGCAATAGAGGACACCGCGGCGCACAGAACAGGGGGGGCAGTGGGGGTTAAACAGAAGCCGAAAGAGACAGCCAACGAGAGGGAGAAAGAGATGGGGCCAACATTTTGCGGGTCTCCGGGACCCATGCACAGATAATTAGGCTTAATTAATAGCCCATTCGGAAATTATTAATTAGTTTTTATAGGCGACGGGCGCATTTTCGTAGCCGGATATTGATTTTGTGGTGGCTTTATTAATGCTATTGGCTTAAATGTTTCTACCTCCATTAATTACGTGGCTTTTTGTGCACAATTTTTCGTTGCTTTTGCTGTTGTTGTGGGATGTGGGATGTGGGCTACGGCCTCACGGTAAATGTGTGTATCTCCGTCTGTGTGTGCGTATCTATCAGGCACTCCCCTGTGCTCGTTGTGTGGGTGTGGGTGTGGGTGTGTGTGTGTGTGTCCGCTTGTTTGTTGTCACACTGATTGACTTTATTTGAGCACATTTTTTGGGCTCTGAATTATTAACAATCAAATGGCCATAGGCTCGGGATAAGCGCAGACCGTTTTATCATTAGAGAAAGGTAAGGATATGTTATGGGAGAGGTTCCAAGGATTAAACAGCCAACCAGCAGTATTTTCCAGCTCAGAATTTCATACACATGGATCTATCAGATAGTATTAGAGGATTAGAGATGCCAATGTCATGAATGAAACCATTCCATCAATATTGTACGAGTATATCCAGCTGTAGACCTTCCCCTTACTGTTTCTGTGCCTTCATTTCGAGGCATACAATTTCCTGATTATTTTTTTCGAAATTAATAAAATATATGCCAGTAATTAAGTCAAGCAGCGACTGTCAATAAAATTTGTTAATAAATAATTCAGAATATTTTGCTTTTTGCATATTTACAATTAATTTATGGGTAATCAGTATCAACAGACGCTTTCAGTAATCATTATTTACTTGTCTGTGTTATACACGCATTTGTATGTACACACATACAATACATGGCTTACACATATGTACATATGTGAATTACACATTATATAATGGCTTCTGTAGGTAGTATCTGTGTGTGCTTGTCTGCATTCGTGTGTGTGTGTGTGTGGCTTGCCTTTTACCTCGGCCAAATGTCAGAATCCTGTAAATCGCGCAATTTGCATTTTGATTTGTGCACTGGGCTAGACGGTTAAATATTGGACAGACAACGACGGCTTGGGGGGCGGAGATGATTGAATCGGGGACTGCCATGGGGCTGAAAGGGGGAGGGGACAGGGTATGATATGTGAAGGCAAGCTCAGATTGGCAGGCAATTTGCGCATTGATTGAGTTGCATTTTATATTTATGGGTAATTTTTATTTATTTTACTTGGTCGCTTTTTTCGCGCTCACCGGAATGGTTTTGGTCAGTGGCGGTAATGAAAGATAAGTGGTCACAAGTAGTGTTGGTAAATTTGACAGAAAACCAATTAAAGGCTGATAAAAATGTAATGAGAGGGCCGTCGGGCTCCAGAGGGTGGAGCCATAGAAGAGCCGCAGGAAATTTGAGAAATTTCAGAGCTTTAAAGAACGCTGGTTACATAAATTGATTGGATTTTGCAAATTTCTTGAACTCGCAACTAAAAAACTTGTAATTTATGAAATACCTGTTCAGTGTCCATTCAGGAGTCATCGTCAATGAACAGTTCTTTCATTGGAGTGAAGCTCTTCCGATGCGAAATTACTCAATTAATTTTTCTGCTTTTTATTCCTGCTTGTATTTAGCGAATTTTTTAAACACTTTGTCTATGGCCTTTTTATGCTTTAATATCATTAATGTGTTAATTTTATTATTCTCCCCCCTTTTGTGTGTGTGTGTGTGTTTTTTTTAATAGCATCAAACTCTAAAGAGGAAATCATTTTTGTCGTTTCTGATGGTTTTTTGTTTTTATTGTTGCTGTTGTTGCTGTTGTTGCTGTTTTTGGTGTTGTTGGTGTTGTGCCCGGAGCAGATAGTTTGCCCCGCAGCTGCGGGGGATGGACAATGTCTAGTACGGTTTTTGTTGCTCGTGTTGCTGTTGTTGTAATGCAATTAATTGTCAATTTAAATTGAAACATCAAATTTAATATAAATGCATTTTAAAATGTACAATTAAATTTATTTCACCTACGCAGCACCATAAACAACAGCAAAATAACCAGAAAAAGCGTGTCGCCCACAAGATTAATTATTGATTTTATTTGAAATGCCCTATCCACAGGGAAGAGGGGGGTAAGCGTAAATAATGTAAATATATCTGATCTGAATCAACGAAGGACTAAAATCATACTACTCCGATTATATTTCCCAGGGTATCCAAAGGTTCGTCTGACTGCAGCACTCTTTTCTTCCATTCATGGCTTAGGGATTGTCCCGTCAGAATGGTTTATATTCGCCTGGATAAATTCATTTAAATATATTTGACTGGCGCAAAAAAAAATGTTTTGTAGTTTGGGTTTTTTTTTTCCATTGCAATCATAATTTGTATGCGAAGCTCTGATTTACGCACACGGATACGAAAACATCAACACACACACAGATACAAATAGGCAGACAGTTTTTTAGGCTTTGACTTTTTTGCCATACGCTCTCTCGTCCCCTCCAGTACTCGCCAGTACTGGCTGCTGTCAGTGTCCGTCCGTCTGTCTCCCTGTCGCTGTATGTGATTGTGTGTTGACCAACGTTTATTTGTTTGTATAGTAAACTTTTGGTTAAATAAAGTGGCCAACAGTTTAACAACAACTCATACACACCGACACCGACTGACACACCCACTTATCCGGAGCGACAAAAAAAATCCTTTATGGCAAGGTGACCCACAATTTTACCACATTCAAATGGTTGCCCAGCGGCAACAACAAAAACAGCAACCATATAAAAAGTATTTTTTTTTTGTCGTCCTCTTTAATTTGTTATGTTATTTTTACTCATTAACACATGAGTCACACTTGTGCCACTTTTTGTGGCCATTTACTGAAAGCTGAAAGTTCATTGATAGACTGATACTCGTATGGGATTAAAGCTCAAAACAATCTTCTCCAAATCACATCGCAGAATAGAGTATTTCTTTTGAATTGTGAGTACAACCCAAAGGTGTGGGACGTTCTTCAGAGGCTTTGAAAAGAGAACGATTTGCAAGCTATGCAAACCCAAAATTCTTCATCAAAACTGTAATCAAATTTCGTGCATTACTATATATGTCCTTAGAGCGAATAAATTTTGTTTTATATCGCATTTTGGTGGTCTATTCTGTTTGGCCTGCAATGTGAATGGCTTGGCTGGCTAATCGGTTTTTTGTGTGATTTTTTGTGGTTGCATTTGTGGGTGCACCACATGTCCAAACCACCCAAGCACTTCGTATCCTCATCCAAAAATTTAACTTTTGCTTTTGCTTTTACTTTTGTTTGTGTTTTTGTTTATGTTTTTGCTCTGCGGTTACCGATTTGAAGTCCAACAAAAAAAATTATACAAAATCATATTCCACAAAATTGAAGAAAAACCATAGAAGGAAGAGATTGCGGTGGATGGTAGATGGTGGATGATAGTTAAATACTTACTCTGACAGTTGCCAATGGGCGGCATACGGAAGCCGGATAGGGGATCCGTTGAGAAGTGGAATGGTCGCTGGCCGAAGGCAAAGTGGAACTGCTGTTGTTGTCCTAAAAGGGATAGCACTAAGTTTTTTTCAGTTTTAATTATCTGTCCTTAACTAAATGGTTTTATTGCATTTGTCTGTGTCTCTTTGTATGTGTGTGTGGGCTTGTGTCCTTCTGTTAAAGTGTAGATGTGAGAGAAACTTAAGTGTCAAGCACTTGATGAATGGAAAACTGTAGCGTTTGATTCACTTAAGATGTAGAAATGGTTATGGCATGGCTCCTCCTAGACCTCCCTTCAACCACCCTTTATGACTCTGTTAGTGCCTCCTCTGAGCCCCCTGAAACCCCATGTTTTTAACACCTTTTTGCACTAAACTATTGACAAAAGGCTTTCTCTCTCTCTCTCTCTCTGTGTGTGTGTGCGAAATGACAATGGCCCCAAAAAACTTTGCCCCGGCAAGTAGCCCGGAGACATTTACCACTATAACTCTCCGGTCCTCTGGTCTATTTCGACGACCTCCAACCTTCCTCTCCGAAACAGGAGTTGCAGTTATCTGGCAGATTGTATTCATTATAAAATAATAACCTTTTGTCTGATGTTGTCTGCTGAAGAGGCAGCTTAAAACCCCCAACAACAAGCCATGTGTGTGTCCTTGTCTATGTCTAGGGTTCTATGTATTTGTATCTGTGTGAATACCGCAGAAAACGGTCTCCCTCCCTCTCTCTCTTTGTCTCTGCCTCTTGGAATATAACCCGTCTGGCTCTGGGGCCATATAAATCATTTCATGGATCCGAATTTGTTGCTCTATTTGTATTCGTATTCGTATTCGGACCGAAGCCAGATTACACAGACCAGCAAAACTTTTGTCCTCTGTCTGAGCCGAGTAGCGCAGCGCGTTGATGGCCCCAAAACATATGCAAAGTAAAATATTTGCATCCTTATAAATATGTATGGGTAGAATGGGATGCTGCTCTTGTATGTGGCATGTATATGGGAGTGAGAGAGAGGAAGAGTCTGATAGAGCTGTCTAATGAATATTCCTTAAAGAAAATGGCAATTTGCTGAGAGATGAGAAAGTGTAAAGCAAGGTATTAGGAACCAAACTTTATCTCCAACAGGGAAAGAGAAAGGTACAGTTGGGAAAGTGAGTAAGTGATAGCCAAGAAATACGACTATTTCCCCCATGACTCAATCAGAGATGAGCGGAGAGTTGTTCAAGTTTCACATTGGAGAGTTTTCAAATTAAGTTTTCAGAGTGATCGAACTGTGGCTCATACCGTAGAAATCTGCCTCCAATTTAGTGGATATCTTTAATAGGAAACTATAAGGGGCAACAGATGATAGTGTTGCACTGCACGCATTTCGATGTCGCACCAAAAGAGTGCCATCTCTGGCCGAGCTAAACTTTAATGAAATCTCTATCCATATGCAGGAGCTAAGACCTCAACTTGAGCCCCCAATTACTCCCAGTCAGTGGTACTCTGAGCCTGTGTCTCTACGTCTGTGTCCGCCTCCCTCCTCCTGTGTCTCTCACTCTCTCTGTTTGGGTTGCCTGCTGACTGCTGCCTGCAGCTGCAAGGACAATTTATCTATTTGGCAACTAATAAATTGTTATGCATTGTCCTGCAAATGAAATACAGTTATCTGCCTGCACAGTGAAGGAGAGGAATCGAGGAGTGGAGGAGGAGCCCTGCCAGAACGCTTCATGGCCGAGGCTCTTTGCATACTTACTTGTCTTGGAGCGGGGCTCGCGTGGCCCGTCGACAGTCACTTTGATCGCCTTGTTGTAGGTGGCTATATGCGGTGGATTCGTTGACACGGTGATGGTGAGCGTGAAGCTTTTCCCTGCAAAAATCAACAACAAAATTGATAAGAAAAGAAAACAAGCGGCAAACAAATTTATGGGTTCTTTTCATGGCTTCAGCTAATGGGCGTCTGACATGCAAATCAATAATGTTTTTTGGTTTTTGGGGTATTGTCACATCGTAAAAATGTTGGCCATAAAACTGCAATGTGTTGGTTGGTTGTAGAGGGTAGAGAGATAGTAAATTATTGTTATTCTAAGGGGTCTTTAGGGGCCTAGATCAAAATTAGTCTACCACGGAGTTTAAATACAGCAATCAAATCACTAGTGCCACATTCTTTATAGACATATTGAAAGAAACAGCATTTGCCCATTTTAATATTCCAAATTCGAATGCGCTTTTCAGGACTGATTTAGCATAGTGTTCCAGAAAGTTTTCTCTAGTTTTAATCCGCTTGGGATATCTACTTTTCAGAGCAAAACATTTTCGTGTGTAACACCATTTGGTGTTGCATATTTGCGTATGCATGGATCTTCGATAAAACTGCCAGGCAACTTTCAAAAAAATTAGAAGTATATCGTTATACTCCTCGCGGAATGCTTCCATCGGCGAATTGAGACCAACTAAGACGCGACTGAGTCGAAGGCAAAGTGTTGTACTTCTGTCCTGCCACACGGTGCGTATACGTTATTTTTAGGCTAGAGCCTGTTGAGAATTGCCATCTATGCTAGGTATAATGATACAGGAGATTTTCAAATAGAGAGTGAGCGTGAGGCAAAATAGAAATTTTCGGATTTGACACAGTAAAAATTACGATCGAATATCCTACGGAATGGATTCAATTCGAGAGAAGGGCTCTCGTAGATATGTACGATATATACGATATACCATACATATTGTGCGGGATGTGCCCCAGCACTAGACCACAGACTTGTTCTCCGTCAATCGTTAATAAGGCAGCACTTTTTTTTAAAAGCATTATTTAATTATTCTTCTACTATTGTCGCTTTAGCTTGTTTTTGTTATGCTCGTTCATTATTTTCCCCCGTACTTGCCACTGCAGAGCACCTGTGACACCACAAATACCTTTTTTCCTTAACTTGATGCCCCGCACACTCTCCTCACATCTAAAATAAAGAATTAATTACAATTTAAACTGATTTTAGTCTGTCAACAAAAAGGCCTCTCGCTCCTGTTCTGCCGCCCTCTCACATGTGAATGTTCTGCAAACAAGTTTCCTTTTTTTTTTTTACCAAGATTTATTTCATTTGGGCCGCAGTTTTCTTTTAATTAACTTGCTTCGCTCCTCGTCTCCCCACCCATTTTTTTGGGGCACGCCTTTTGTGTCATTGTCAAGTGTTGCCAGGCCCACGCGGAGACACGCTCTTGCCGCACTCTTTGTCGCCAGCCAGACCCCGTTCCGGGATTCAATTAAAAGCATTTCGGGCTCCTTGAGATGCTGGCACTTCTTCCATTTCCTGTCTTGTCTATGACAACGCGGAGCAGAGCAGTGGGGGAAATGATCTGTGGATCTGTGAATCTGTGAATCTGTGAGCCTGTGGAGTGGGGTTTGCTTTTTAAGTTGACAAACAAAGCGTAAATCATTTCGACACATACAAATAAACCGCCGACGCCCACACACACACACACACACACACATACGAGGAGTATTCGAACAGACACACACAGACACAGACACTGACACAGAGGCAATGGCTTACACATGTTCCCTGGCACACTCCACTGGGCCCTCCCCGCCCCCCTGCATTGTCTTCCTCGGCTTATGTCTTGGGCGGGCCACCGCCACCTTTAACCTTCCTGCATAAAAAATGAATTGGTAGTCCTTCTCGGGCCGTCTCGAGGGGCGGGGCGTGAGGGGCGGTGAAATGAGAAAACACTTTTGTGTTTACTGCCATCAAGTGCAGTTCATTGTTGCGCAATTCTTTGCCACTTTCGATGGGTTTGGCCCTGGGAAACCGACAGTACGGGATACGGGGTACGGGGTACGGGAGTGATATAATCGATCGTTTAAGAGAGACAAAGAAACGTGTCTTTAATTCGATTTCTGATTTTAAACATGGGAAATCATGCAAAGCCTGTTACTGAAAGGCCTTGAAAGGCGTATATAAAAATATAATATATATATATTGTGTCTTTCAATTTAGAAAATGCCTTCAATTTTTTGAGTATTTTTGGAATAAAAAAATATATATTCTTCTGTAAAAAGCAAGGATAGGAATTATTATAGTTTTCTTTCTTTCTTTCCGTTTATCCGGTACGTTTATCGGTTTATGGTTTCCCATATCTGTACTTATTTGATTTTTAAGTAGATTTCACCTAACCAAGCGTTTGGCCCCTGACCCAATTTCAACGATGCCTAATCCTGCGACCTGTCCCACCGCCAGAACACATTCATCTTAATCCCGACCCCCACACACCTCCCACTCCTCCACGGACTCCGACAAATAGAAACATCAACACTTGAGGAGCAGAACACTTCCGTTTGTTGCGACATTTAAAATCAAATCCTGTTGACAAATAACTTGAAATCCCTGCTTGCCAAATCCTTGGCAATTTGCCGAGGCACAGGCGTCATAAATCAATTTGGGGGTAATGAAAGCACACACACACCCACACACACGTGTAGCTGGTTGGGGATTGTCGTTCGTAGAGGTATGCTGACAGGCGACAAATACATACACATATACATATATGAGTATGGATAAGGGGTAGGCTCTGCCATAAGACACACACCCCCACACCTATCACATCTGTCAATACTTGTGGCCGTGTCACAAATCACCAAGAAACAACAACGAACCCCCAAGACATACCACCCTACCTCCAACCTGCTGCCAGTTTCCGTCGATGCTGCTGCTGGTGCTCTTCCCCCACCACGTAATCGGTGTGGGGCGTACGTTATTCAATTTACGGATTATTTGCAATTAAAATTTTTGCTCCATATTTCCCCCAAAAGCAACCTTTTGCACAAATATTTGTTCAGGTTGGCAAACATTCATCTGATGGCTGGAAAGACAATACAACCTTGAGTGCGTAATACTACTCTTAAAATCCCAACCAAGTATCGGGTATCTTTTCGGCGATTTACCTGACTGAAGTCTCTCAAGCCAAACACTAAGCCCTTAAATGCTTTTCAAGTCAGCCAACAAGTCGGTTCAACACGAAAAGAAAATCATTTTGCGGCTTCTTTGGTTTTCATCTTCTGCTGTTTTCTTTTATTTTCTTTTTTTCACATTTGTTTGCCTGTTGATTTCTTGTGTGTATTTACCTGAAGAAAATGTGTTCAGATGATTGATTGTGTTGTCATGAAGCTGGGGATAGTGCCACGGATACTGATTTTATTAAATCCATTATTGTTTGCCTCTGAAGATTTGCTTTATTATGATCATCCGAAGCTATAAGACCAGATGCCATAAAGCCCGAGTCTAGCCTTTGGTGGCAGGTGCCATAGAGCTCTGCTAGATACAGGCTTATTAATTAGTGGCCAACCCATTAAGACTCTCCTTTCCGTGTGAATAATTTGAAATTACCTTTCAACGCAATCCAATCCCATACAATTCTTTGTGTGCCCCACACTGAAACCCATCAGCCCATCATATTTATAAATTGCACCATTGTCTTCTGCCTTCTGCCTGTTGCTTTCCCCCTACCCCAATCTCCCCCGACCGAATCTGCCTCACACAATTGCCAACTTTTAGCACGAGAACAAAATGCTGAGGAACAAAAAAAAAAAAAAAAAGAAAAAGAAAAATAAATCGAGGCAAGAAGACATAAATAGAAAAAGGAAAGCCAACGGCAAATTGTGCACAATTTGCCATGACTCCCCCACTGGCTCCCCCACCCGTTCCCTGGCTGAGTTAAGACAGGCGTGTCCTTTTCACAGGATAAGGTGTCAGTGGCTGGCAAAAGTTTCCCTTTTTTTCGGCAGCTGCTTTGTCGTGCTGTCGGCCCTCTTTCTTTGCCTTTTTAACGCCTCGACTTTTGCCAGGCATTTATCTTTGGGTGGGTTGTGGGAATTGGGTCTGGTATTGGGGTCGGCTCGGGTCGCTCCCACAGTGTCTTTTGTCCCCAATGTTCGGGTAGCAAATCTGTTTGTCTTAGGGAGTCTTGGGTCTTGGAGTTCTTGGCTCAGTTCATTTTGCGGCTGTTTTGGGGCCGTCTTAAATGGCTCAAGAATTGTGTAAATAAAAACCTCAAGCGAAGGCGCAGGGGGCTCGGCTAACTTCTGCTCTCGATTAGGCGGAAATGTTTTTCCATTGGATTTTCTCTCTGTTTCACGTATGTTCTGCTGAGCGATTTATTGACGCACAGCCAAAAAAAAGAAGGGAGAGGGGCGCGTAACAGGCGGCAACTGGCACCGAAGGGAGCCCAACATGTAGCTCCCCCCTCCACCACCTGCCCACAATCAAATTCCCCATCATCATCGTCGGTGTGGCAGTGGGTGTGGCAGTGGGTGTGGCAGTGGGTGTGTGTGCGTGTGCGTGTGCGTGCATGTGCATGGCACTTTGCTAATTAAAAGTGTAGCCTAACGCAGGGCGCTGAGCCCCCAAATAAATCGATGGCCGGGTAATTAAATTGCATGACAGACCCAGACCCAGACCCTGACCCGAGTCCCTAGTCCCGAGTCCCGAGCCCTGAGCCCCGAGCCTCGGCATCCGTCCGGCGGTCTAGCTAATGTACTGTTGCACTATGCATTTGTTATTGTAATTAGACGGAAGCAACAGCAGGAGCAGAGCCAGCACCAGACCAAACAAAATGGCGTCCCCAGTCGCGTCAAATCGCGTAAATCACTCAAACGCCTAATTGGTGCAGGGAAGAGCTGAAGATTCGATTGAAATTATGCCTGCACCCATAGGAGGCCTAGTGAAAGGAAAACCATAGGCCAAAGGCCACAAAATGGGAAAGCCCGGAAGGGGGAGTAGGCAAAGATGGATGCAAGATGATGAATATATGGTCTCATGCGCCCTGTCGGGCATGGGGAATGGGAATGGGAAGTTTACAATTAAAACGCCTCAATGCGGGAAACGACGTTTGGGGAAACTGGTGAGCGGAGTTGGGATTTGGATATGGAAATGGAAATGGAGCAAGCACGCTGGGAAAATGTGAAATACAAGTGAAAAAGCTGGGATGGAAGATGGACGAGAGGAAAACGAATGACACAAAGTATGAGAGAGGGCAAACTGATGGACAAAAGCCCTCAGAGTGAAGAGAAGGAGTGACTGATAGACGTGGACACATATCCATTTGGCATTGGCCGAATGATGACAATGAATGAATCGCAGACATCCATTCGCTGCGCCCCTGCACCTCCACCAAAAACCGCTTGTCGCCCCCCTCTGAACGTCTCCCTATCTCCGCCGACTTCCTCTTTGGTTGAGGCTTTGGTTTTTGCGGTTCTACCGCAGCGGATGCGTAAGCCCATCATCGCCCATCGGCCACCGCCACCGCTGCATTCCCACCATTTCTTGGCCTCCTGAAATGGCCAACGTCCTAGTCCTAGCTCTGCATTTGCTGATTGTTCAAGTGATTAATGGATACCACGAAAGAGTCTTTAAAAGGGGAACAATATATGCACAACTGGAGGAAAGAACTTCTTCAGAATTCAACGATACTACGAAAATGATTTAGGCGATTTAATATTGGAATTACTCCGCAATGAATCCCACATTAATTCGGTGCTTTGTGGGGTCTCCTTAGGCTCAATCCATTCTCTACATTTCCGGCATTCAGTTCATTTCAGTTCCATTCCATTCTGACAGTTTATTAAACACTTTAAGACAAAGCACCAACCAACAAAAAAAGGCGGAACAAAAATAAAATGGAGCAGAGGAATCCGCTTGTATTCTATGAATGGAAGCGATGGCGACCACTGATGAACTGCTGACAATTTGTGCAGCGCTTAACAAGCGGTTAAAAGGATACAAAAGCCTGTCGAGCACAAAAACCAACAACTGACAACAGAAAGCACAAAAAAAAAGAAGGAAGAAAATGAACCGAAAAAAAGATGACAGCAATGCAAAAAGTGCCCCGGAATAATACAAAAGCGAGTCGAGCACACCAGGGGGGCCACAGAGCAACAGGAACTGAAGCAGGAGCCAAAGCCGGAGCAGGAGCTGGCAAAAGTTTTGCCACTCGGCGAACTCGACGCGACTCTGGGCGATAATTGAACAAATTGTTTCGAGTGCAGTCAAGGGGTTGGGTTGGGTTTGGTTTGGCTGGGACAGGGTTGGGCGGTCCTCAAGTGCTGACAAGGGCCAATAAGAGGCGCCACTTGGCGAAAAAACTTTTGCGTCCTTGCGTAAAGAGCAGAGATTAACTGTAAACTGTAGATGGAAGAGGCGTTCTCTTGAAGGGGACGTCCCTCAGAGATTAATGTAGCTGGAGACAGAGGTTGCAGTGGTCACAAGATACAGATTATTCGAGCAGCTCTTAGCCGATCCAAGCATGAAAGGATGACCGGGAGTAAGGATATCCATTGATCTAAAAGAGAGTAGCATATTTGCGGTAGGAGCTAGATTTTTTTAAATCAAAGATGATCTGAACCTCAACGAATCGATGCGATTAGGGGCAGAAGTTATGTTGAGTATACGTTAAGGACGCCTTGAGATGTATGAGAAGCACAGGAACAGGAACAGGGACAGGGACAGGGACATTGCTATAACCATCATGATTTTTTGCGAAAATCGTGAAAAAATGGATATCCCTTTTTCGGATGGCAGTCGACAGGCAGGACTCTCTTTACCATAAAAAGACATGCCACGCCTCGATCGGCTGCCGTATCACTGAGATATAGAAATGCAGAAAGATATGCAGAAAAACCAGTATCTGAAAGATATGCACATCCAAATCTTCGGAAGGCTTTATCTCAACCAAATAGGGCAGATCGGTACAGGACTTACTCTCCCAAGACCGTGGGAGTCCTGCCTGTCGAGTGCCATCAAAATCTCGACTTCGGAAAGGAGGCCGATTTTTGGCAAATTTAATGATGTAACCATCCTGAATTTTTGCAAAAATCGTGAAAAAATGGATGCCCCTTTTTCGGATGGCAGTCGACAGGCAGGACTCTCTTTACCATAAAAAGAGTTGCCACGCCCCGATCGGATGCCGTATCACTGAGATATAGCGTGCCGGAAAACCACTATTTCAAAGATACAAATGCACATCCAAATCTTCGGAAGGCTATATCTCAAGCAAATTGGGCCAGATCGGTACAGGACCTACTCTCCCAGGACCGTGGGAATCCTGCCTGTCGACTGCCATCAAAATCTCGACTTCGGAAAGGAGGCCGATTTTTGGCAAATTTATTGATGTAACCATCATGATTTTTTGCAAAAATCGTGAGAAAAATGGATGTCCCTTTTTCGGATGGCAGTCGACAGGCAGGACTCTCTTTACCATAAAAAGACATGCCACGCCTCGATCGGCTGCCGTATCACTGAGATATAGCGTGCCGGAAAACCACTATCTCAAAGATACAAATGCACATCCAAATCTTCGGAAGGCTATATCTCAAGCAAATAGGGCCAGATCGGTACAGGACCTACTCTTTCAGGACCGTGGGAATCCTGCCTGTCGACTGCCATCAAAATCTCGACTTCGGAAAGGAGGCCGATTTTTGGCAAATTTATTGATGTAACCATCATGATTTTTTGCAAAAATCGTGAACAAATGGATGTCCCTTTTTCGGATGGCAGTCGACAGGCAGGACTCTCTTTACCATAAAAAGACATGCCACGCCTCGATCGGCTGCCGTATCACTGAGATATAGCGTGGATATAAGGATATAAGGATATCCATTGATCTAAAAGAGAGTAGCATATTTGCGGTAGGAGCTAGATTTTTTTAAATCAAAGATGATCTGAACCTCAACGAATCGATGCGATTAGGGGCAGAAGGTATGTTGAGTATACGTTAAGGACGCCTTGAGATGTATGAGAAGCACAGGAACAGGAACAGGGACAGGGACATTGCATATACATAAGAACTTAATACTTAATACTAACCTCTGCCACTCCTGCCCACAAACCGGAGATCATTGAACTTGGCCACCTGGTTCTTCATCACCGCCGTGCAGTTGCGCAGCTCGGCGCAGTAGTTCTCATCGTTGCCGGCCCGCACCGTGACCATGGTGCCGTCCATGATATCGCCTAGCGACACCACCTTGAAGGCCACCGGCAGTGTCTTGTTGGACCGCCAGTGCGGCGGTAGGACGGTGCAGACGAACAGCGGACTGCTCGTGCGGATCAGCTCGCCGGGGTGTTCGGTGAGGAAGTCACCGAGGGTCCGTTCGGCCAGGATGTCCGACGTCATTTTCGTGTATGCCTCGTTCAATAATTGGGCGGGTGTGGGTGGTGTGTTCTGCTCCGTGTTGTTGTTGTTGGTGTTGGTGTTGTTGGTGCCATTGGTGTTACTCGTGTTGTTGTTCGCTGTTGAACTGTTATTGTTGTTGTTTGTTGTTGAGTTGTTGTTGTTGTTTGTTGTCGAATTGTTGTTGTTGTTGTTGGCATTGGATGCCGTCGAATTGGTGGTGGTTGTTGTTAGATGCATTTTGTAATTGTTGTTTGTGTTGCTGTTGGGGCTGTTAAAGTGATTGTTGTTGCTGTTGCTATTGGTGTTATTAAAGTGGTTGTTGTGATTATAGTGTTGGTGTAACTGCTGCTGCGGCTGCTGTTGCAAGTGGTGCTGCTGCGGCTGCGGCTGCGGCTGTTCTGGATGTGGATGTGGATGTGGCTGCTGCTGCTCAAACTGCTCCAGTTGCCCCTGAGCGTGAGCCTGCACTTTTTTTAATCGCACAATTTTGTCTTCTGTTAATCGCACCGTCGGTTGGAATTCAAGCAAATTGCCTTTTGAAGACCGTGGATAGTGCTGCAAGAATATAAAGAAGAGATTAAGACGGAATAGCAACTTATACATACTCCCCATAGATCCCCATGTGTGACAGTCATTTTGTAGGCCTGGATATCAAATAAAATGTGCATACATTTTGCATGCGGCATAATACTTCTAAGGTGTGGAGACGATACAGAATAATAAAATCAATCAGATGACCATATCTGCTAACATTATAAGGGTCTTTAAGGCCTTGAGGGTCATATATGTATATTTTGTTAAATATTGGTTGACAATTTGTCAGTGCATGATAGGCTACATAGATCGCACATTTCCTTTAAATTTTCAACAAAATAAAATCAATTCAGCTCCGAAAAGCAGTCATTACAATAAACTTCTACAGCTTTGAGGGCAAAGCACATCACAGCACAGCACAGCACAGCACACACAAAATAAAATCAAAAATTGAATAAAATATTATTCCACACTACCATGGACTCCTACAAAACATCTCTGGTGGCTATTGGCGACTATGCTGGAAAGGTCCTGGCCATGGTGCAGGAGCATTCCACTACTTTGGAGTGGGGAGCAGCTGTGATCTTTCTAATCTGCATTCTCTTCGTTCTGATGTCACGCCGTGGCCGTAACCAAAAGCCGATGCCCCGTCACCGATACAATCTAAGGGACACCCCAGCACGCAAGGCCCGCCAAAGTTTGTAGTTGTAATACGGTTTTTTCGTTAACACTTAATTACGAGTACACTTAAATTGAATAAATTTGTTTCGAGAACAGAAACAGTGCCTAGGAACCACAGAGGACAGTGACCCAAGCCTCTACTATACCACCATAGCCTTGGCCTTTTATTATTGAAAATTATTACACTAAACAATGATTGTTTTGACCTTTTTGGAATTGTACTTAAACATTTAACATTATAATTAAACAAGCACTTCTTAGTATATATGTAAGTGTATTGTAAAAGGGGAGGATGTTGGGGGTATATTGGAAAATTCAAGTATAAGGAAGTGATCTACTCATTCCGGCCTATCGTCGCTTTTATCAATACCAAATACTACTTAAAGTACTGCCTAATACTTGGGCTTTAAAATGGTTCACGAAGTCCACGAAGTTAAAACACATTTTGAAAAGGTGGATTAAGGGATGAGTGAATATCAAGAAGGATCTAAACCAATTGATCCAATGACGAGAACACTTAATGATCTAGCCACGTACTGGAGAGGGGGAGAGAGAGAGAGAGAGAGAACGACTAAGGCAGTCAATGTTTGTGGGGTCCCCAAGTTGATAAGGTCATCAATCGCCCCGATGCGAATCCATCCCGAGCAACTTCATTTCAACTTGTCGTGTCGCATGCCATAAAATTTGCGAGCTAACCCAGGTTAATGTCTTTAAATCACAGTACCAAAATGGCATATTACATGGTCACCAAACCAGAGGCAGAAGCAGAAGCAGAAGCCCAGTTCCAGGTCCAGGTCCAGGTCCAGAGCCAAACTGCAGGTCAATGCAGGCCAGGCATGCCCTGGGCATGGCAACCATAAACACAAATCAATTGTCAACCACTCGACGGGGACGGCTTCAGACGGCTCTCTCGGTTTGGAACAGGACGCGGACGAGCACCAGGAAGACTACGAGCACAAGGCACTTGGAATGGGATCAGAGGTGTGTGTGTGTGCGGAACGCAATTTGCGCTGCACTTTTCAATTTCCTGCAAAGGACTTCATTGCTCTCCTCGGCATATACACATACATACACATGTATGTGTGCTTGTGTGTGCGGGAGTGAAGTGTGGAAATGTCCTGGCATGCAGCACTATCCAAACGAAACGCAAATCTAGTCGACATCCGCGCCGGTTGCGATGCGGGATGCGTTTGTGCCTCATGTGTGGGTTGTCGGGGTGGGTGTGTGGCATGTGGCACATGTGGCACATGTGGGTAGTGGCACGCAGCACGCAGCAGCAGCACCCCGGACAAGGGACACGTCACCCCGTAACCAGTGTCAAAATGATTGTGGACTCACGGGTGAGAATTTGTGGTTTGATACTTGCATATTTTGTCACTTGTCGACATGCTGGACGCATGTCCCGAAGTGCAAAGGAGAAAGGCAGCTGCAGATGCCACAAAAAGAGAGAGATAGCCGGATATACAGGTGGATCTAAAGCAGTAAATGGAGCCACAGATACAGATGCTCATAGAACTGAAGATTAACCTGGAGGCACAGACACAGATACAAAGAAATCCTCTGGTGGTGGGGGAAGATTGACCCGACCGCATACGCTGTTGTTCTTTTGGCTAAATGATTCCTCGCAGAACAACTTTAAAATTTCGTAACTGGAAATGTTTTTCGGTAACACTTATAGATGCACACCAGTATAGATGCTCTCCACCCTCGACCCTGCTCAATCTCAATCTCGACCTCCTTGCCCCATGTCGTCGTTCTCCACTCGTTGTCCATTCTCGCGTACCCGCAGGGCTTTTCCCACTCCCAGACAGCCGACCCCACATTGCTGACCGATAAAAATTACTTAAAAATGCCACAGCTCATGGGTTGACTTTTGGCCAACAGCGTTGCCAACGAAAAGAAGAAAAAAGCGAACAAAACCGGGCATGAAAAGCTGTGAAAAAAGCAGGACACCAAATAACCGTGCCTGTCACACAAAAGAGAAGCAAAAGGAGAAGGAGAAAGAGGAACAAGAAGGAACAATGCCAAAGAGGAAATCGCGGCAAAAATCCAACGGAAGCCAAACGTGTCGCCGCGAATCCAGACAACACATCCCACACACACACACACACACACACACAGAGAGAGGGAGAAAGCATAAAAACAAAAAAAAGAAGGAGGAACAGAGTGCAAAAGGAGAAAGGAGAAAGGTTGGGGGGAGAAAGACCTATAGAGATATGCAAATGGGTATGGGGCGTGGTGCGTGGTGCGTGGTGCGGTGTCGTCAGTCGCCAGTCGCCAACGTCATTTGCCTTTCATTTCGTTTTCCTGCCTTTTATTGTAAATTTACTTTATAAAGGTTATTACCGAGCTCAAAATAAGCGGTGAAGGGGGCGGGGCAGCAGACTGGACTCTTAATTTAAGGCAAAGAAGTGGCTCCAGCTATCCGAGGCTGACGGATCACCTTCATTTTCCCGAGCGGGCGAAGCGAGTGAGCCGAGGGCACGCCGGGGATGGCCCCCTATAATAAACCAGGCCAGCTTTGCTGTAGAAGAACTCGAACTAATGTTCTTAAGAGGGAAGCCTAGGAAAGGCCCAACAATCGGGGTCACCAGCCACCAATAGTTGGCCATTTTGCAGGTCATTCAACAGCTTCTACGGCCTAAACGAACGGTCAGAGTGCCTGGCCATCTGACCATCCATAGAGACAATAAAAGAGAATGCGAGAAGAGCGAAAAAAATCAGCGGCAAGTGCTCGACAAACGCGCCATAATCCGCGCTTGCCGTCACCCAGAAGTTCCTGCCACTGCCACCATCACGAACCTGAGCGAACGAGTCACGCGCGGTTTGTCACCTCATTGTTGTTGCTGCTGCTGCCCCATGCCCCACTGCCTCTTGGTTCAGACTCATTTTTTTGTTTTTGTTTTCTCATCAGAAGCCTGAACCCTGGTCCGGGGTCTGGAATGGGTGGCTAAATCAAAATTCATGGTTTCTGTTAAAACGGCAACCGGGTATCGATAGACAAGGACCATGGAGGCGATGGCGATGGGTTACACGCAAGTTTAACCCTTTGATGACCTCTTCCCAGTCCTGCTCCAGCCTCCAGCCTCCAGTCTCCAGTTGCGCGCTCCTGACCCGATCTGATCCGGACAGCACACATGTACAACATGTAAATTGTTTCAATTTGCGGCATTTGCCGTAAAGCTGCGCAATTTTCGACATGCCATAGGTACACACACACACACACACACACACACACACGCACTGGACGTGAAGAGCCACCCTTGTGTGACAGTATCTGTGTAAGGGGGGCGGCGGTTTCGCAGCCATAGTTTGGTATGTGTCCAGCTGTTGGGCTCCCATCGAATCCTCTCGGAATGAGTGGCAAAAAATGGGAAACCCAGATACTAAACTTGTTAAATGTTATGGCTAAATGTATATATAGAATATGTGCGTGTGTCTGTGCCTCTGCCTGTGTCTGTGTGGGTGTATTAGGGTTATATGGGCACATGTGTGGGTGTCGCAGTATCATCTAATACAGGGCTACTGGACGACGCCACTGCCACTGCCACTGCTGCTGCTGCTGCTGCTACTTTGATGTAGTTAAATTTTAATTGGACTTTGGGTTTTTGTTCCCCGTCTGCGGTATTTCAACAGCAACTATGTCAAGTATGCGCAGGGGTTCAGGCTTATATACGACACTGTGTGTGTGTGTGTTTACTCCCATATTAAGTTAACCAATTTCAGCGCTGAAACAGCAGCTAAAAAGAGTCTAAAGAAGCAAAAGGGAAGTCGCTTGTGTGGGCAGTCCGATGTGCTGGAACTGATTGGCCACTGGAGAAGAAGTCATAAAGATTTTATTCGACAATCTACATTTTTTGGAATATTAATGGGTCATTGTATAGACTCAGTAGTGTACAAGTCCCATCACGGGACACTGCCAGATGGGCATTCAAGCCTCTGGACTGTCAATCCCTCGCAATGACTTCTGCAGGAGGAATCAGTCCCCCACTTCTTCTGCCATTGCCCGGCCCTTGGAAATC